AGCTAAGAATAAATACTTACTAAAAGAAATATAGATAATTAAATTACTAGTATAGCTAAGTATAATAGCGCTAGGCCTCGAATAGCTAATACTTTAGTAAGGTAGCGCGTCTATAAGTTATATAAGTAGCGTACGTTCCGAAAGCGACGAGTATAGTTTATACGAGTCTATTAAGCTATATATACCTAAGCTCTTTAAAAGTAAAACTATAAAGGAAGTATACGAATTTATCTATACTCTTAAGATAAACTTTATAGCTATACTAAAGAGGTTTCCGATAGATTACTAGAAAGTAATTATAGGTATTATATACCTCGTAGGCGAAGTATAAGAAGTATAGTATAATAAATACCTAGGCGTTCTATCTATAAGATATATCTAGTTTTAGTTCTATTAATTCCTATACGATATTATTAGAGATTAAGCAAACTATATACTTCTCGTAACTATAGAATATAAGAATATATACTAGAGTAAGAGCTAGAGTATATAATAGTTCGTAATAGACTTTAGTAACCTAGAGTCTTAGCTAGGTAACTATACTAAAGCGTAGCTAGTATACTAGTTCCTTATAAAACTAAAGCTATTACTATATAAGAATATTATTAAGAGCTATACTATTTCTAATAAGTATACCGACCTTATTACTCTAGTAAGATACCTCGAGTAAGCTAAGAAAGCTATACCTTATAAGCCGTATTATAGTAATATCGAGAATAAGTAGGCTAAGCGTAAGCGTACCGATAGCAATACTTCTTATAAAAGAGCCTCTAGTTCGACTAGCGGCTAATATAATACTAATAGTAGTAAGCCGAGAGGTAAATATAAAGGTAAAAGTAAGAGCTAGTAACTAATATACTATATATATAACGAGGTTAGCTATATTAGTTCTAACTACTCGAACTCTAAGAAAGATAGTAAAAAGCTAGCTATTTATAGAGTAACTATAGTAAAGGAGTAGAGAGCGAAAAAAGCTAAGATACTAGAGACGATATACGAGTTACTAGCGCTAAACTAGATAGCGATAACTCTCTACTAGTTTAGAGTATACTAGTAATATATATAGAAAGAGAAGTCGAAATATAGTTAGATAGTAAGCTAGCTACTTTCCTTCTCGACGATACTATAAATATTATTAGAAAGTATAGTCTAGTTAGATATTCTAAGAGATACTTTAGA